CAACATTAAAACTTCGGATATTAGGATGTTGTCTGTACCCGTCCACTATTTTGGGTGGTAATATGGCGTTAACGATAGCTCCAATACGTCCTCTAAACATGGCCTCAGCAGAGGACTTCCCATCTGGGGCAGTTGGGTTCGGTGTGGTTCTGTAGGCCGTTAAAAAGTTTGTGATCATCTGTTCAGTTATCCCCTCGTCCCCCCTCTCAGTAATGCTCCTTTAAACGTGTCGACAAAACGTTCTAATTGTCCGTTCGATTGGGGATGATAGGATGGAGTGCATGGATGCGTTATTCCATTTGTACTACAAAAATACTTAAATGATTCTGCAATGAATTGTGAGCCGTTATTAGTCACTAAGGTCTCTGGGACTCCAAAGCAACTAAACAAAGTAGATAAATTGTTATAACAGTCTAAAAGCATAAGGTACACTAGATTCTAACCGATAGTCTGTGGATAGCTGGTCTGTTAGTTAAACAGCCCCAATTAAGGTATGAAGTTAAAATGTTTGATTAGTAACTTTTTTCAGTAGTTTACTTCGCGTACTGATGCTAAGAAACTGAAACCAGGAAGGACTGGGCAGTTGTTTCGTTTTGATACGAAACCCTCTAACGGAACGCACCTGAAACCCCACAGACGATCGAACCCAGTATATAGGAAACAATCATTGCTTTCTTCGTACTATTTAAACTCGTGTTGATTTAATTCGGTTATTTATTTACTCTGAAGAAATGGCTTACATTAAGTCTCGAAACATCAGAAATACAGTGTTTCTACTCATTGGGATTTAAAGTAAAAATATGTTTCTTATTGGCTTTCTACCCAACGTTGCTTAACTTGGGTAGAAACGTGCCATCAGTGCTTGAAGTCACTAACTTCCAGTCTTAGCCATCTTGTTAGATGCAGACTACTTAGTTAGGGTCCACGTAACTATCGTAACCAATGGTCGGAGACTCTGGGTGATATGGCTCAGAATCGATCACAACGGCGTCGGTGTATACACTCTCTGTCTTCCCTTAAACCATTAGATTGAAATACTTTATACCTTTCTAAGCACCAATTCTCTCTCTTCTGATGCACAATCTCTCGTTTATATATTACACCACTGAGTTAACTGCTCTTACGAATCTGGTGTGCAAATAAGGTATGGCAACTTGGACTAATTCATATATGTGCCTAGTCCTACGTTGTAACTGACTTTCTACCCAATACTCAATTTATTTGTAAGATATAATTGTTTGAAGAATATTCCTTATCCTGAATTCTGTTCTTTTATTTTAATAACCAGAAAATATGGAAGATAATGGATATGTTTAATATTTGCCAAATATTTATAACTATTTATAGAAGTATTTTACTAATAGAACAATCATATATCAATTACAATTAAATTGTTTATTTAACTTTCAGTTGATCTTTAATTGGCATATATTTCTATTTGATATGTATTTAATGAACTTAAGCATGAACGATATAAATGTAAAAGTAATCTAATGAAGTTTATAAATGTGAAATTTTTTTTATAGTTATAAACAGAAATATGTATCTATGGTAAATTGGATTACTGAAAATAAAAGTTGACGCATAAAAAAATGTAGATTACAATTTTATCATTATCAATAACTAAACTAATAAATCGATTCTTAATTGACAGATAAAACTAAAAGAAAAAAATCGATATTTTGTGGTCTTATAATACACAGAGTGACTATGAATATAGCATACATCCTAATAAAAGTTGTAAATTGGGGCCATTGGATACCGATTCAGTGGATTATAGGTCAAAACATGTAGGTCCTAGGTTCAATCCCTGACAAAGTTGTGAATGCTCTCTATTCTATCACGATACAGCAGCCTGGTGCTCTCTGGTTTTTTAAAGGTACTGTTATTGTTGTTAGTTCATAATGAATAATACCTAAAGTTATAAATTCCTTATGAAAATTATCATGAAATGTTTCTCCAGTACTTAACATTTAGTGATTAACTAATGTATATATACCAGCCCCATAGGAGATTATTTGGTCTCTGAATAACATAAGGGTAACTTTTCAAACTATGAAGATCGGTGACACAGATCCAGTTTTAACAGTGAACCTCTGTTGTCTGAAGACTTAAGGTGTCCTTTGTTAATAAGTACCAACTAGTACATAACATAAGTTAAGCAAAGTTTATCACAGAGAGAGTCCAACTCCAACCAATAAAAATTCACTTTTCTGAACCTAAAAAATGTTAAATAAATATACCAATAATAGACTTTTCATTCGTTACATCGAAAAAACATGAGCTATAAACACAAACAATACAAATGATTATATTTTTTACTCATTTGGACAAATTTCACTTATCAATGAGTGAAATGCAGACTAGTTTTATTTATTAAAACTTTTTATTGATTAGTCGTACTTGTTACTTACGCCTGTTATCCCTTTTGGAAGAGCATAGGCCGCCTACTCTCACTCTCCATTCAACCCTGTCCTGGACATTCGTTTTCAGTTTATTCCAGTTGTTATTCACCCTTTTCATATCTGCTTCTATTTACCGAAACTCCGCCTGTATCTCTCCTAAAGTTACTGCCAATTCGAAGCCCGAGTAAGGTAGGAGGGTTGCGTATGGGGTTAGCGACCCCATCCCGTAGAAAACTAACTCGCTAAAAAACGCTAACCAGAAGAAATAATTCAAACCATTTAAACTTTGCTCTGGGAGTTGAAGAAAGAATTATGATGCCTCAGGATGAAAGCCAAAATTTTTCGGAAGTCACAAGGTCGATGCCCCTTCTAACAACCAGAGCAACAATTTTTATAGGTAGATGGAACGTCCGAACAATGGAGGACACTAGGAAGACAAGTCAAATGGCAACAGAAATGAGGAGATGCAACTTAGCAGTACTGGGAATCAGCGAAACCCATTGGACCCAAGCTGAACAACAAAAACTATATACGGGAGATAATGCTGCTATACTCCGGCCACGAAAAGGAAAATGCTCCACACACTCAGGGAGTCGCTCTTATGCTGTCCAAAATAGCACGAAATGCACTTGTAGGATTTGAGTCTCACGAATCCAGAATCATCAAAGCATCCTTCAAAACAAAGGAGGGATTTACAATGAATGTTATCCGATGTTATGCGCCCAACAATGATAACAATGACGACAATAAAGATCAGTTCTACGATAGGTTGCAATCAATCGTAGCAAAGTGCCCAAGAAAGGACCTCACCATTCTGATAGGAGACCTAAACGCCAAAGTCGGAATAGACAACACCGGATATGAAGATATCATGGATTACTGGGAGAGAGAAACGAAAATGGAGAAAGATTTGCAAATCTGTGTGCGTTCGACAAATTGGTTATAGGCGGCACAATATTCCCACAAACGCATGCACAGAGCTACATGGGTCTAACCGGATCAGACCACAGAGAACCAGATGGATCATATATGTATCAATAAAAAATTCCGAAGGACAGTAGAAGACGTGACAACTAAAAGAGGAGCTGACATAAATTCAGATCACCACCTGGTTGTCGCCAAGGTGAAACTGAAGCTAAAGAAACACTAGACAGCATTATGGTAGCTTCTTTGGCACTATGGAGTTCCTGAGAAGATTGCCAACATTATCCGGAACTCATACGATGGGCTACAGTGCAAAGTCGTGCATGGATAACAGCTGACAGATGCATTCCAAGTGAGAACCGGAGTTAGACAGAACTGCTTACTCTCGCCCTTTTTCTTCTGGTGGTCGACTGGATTATGAAGATTTCCACATATGAAGAAAAGCACTGAATACAATGGACAGCTCAGAAGGAACTAAAAGATTTGAACTTCGCAGATAGCCTAGCCCTCCTATCCCATACACAACAACAAATGCAGATGAAGACAGCCAGCGTAGCAGAAGCCTATGCATCAGTGGGCCTCAACATACATAAACGAAAAAGCAAGATCCCCATATATAACAAGCAGAACACCAACTCAATCACACGTGAAAGAGAAGCTCCGGAAGAGGTGGAATCCTCCACATACCTGGGAAGTATCATGATGGACAAGGAGGTTCAGATGAAGACGTAAAGGGGAAGACTGACAAAGCAAGGGCCGCTTTCCTACAATTGAAGAACATATGGAACTCAAAATAACTTTCAACCAATATCAAAGTGAAAATCTTCAATACGAACGTCAAGACAGTCAGTCCTACTGTATGGAGCTGAAACTTGGAGAACTACAACAACCGTCATCAAAAAGGCACAAGTATTTGTAAATAGTTGTTTACACAAGATACTCAACCTCCAGTAGCCGGATACCATCAGCAACAGCCTTCTGTTGGAGACAACAAACCAGCTTCCAGCTGAAGAGGAAATTAGTGAAAGACGATGCAAATAGATAGAATATACATTGCGCAAATCACCAAACTGCATCACGAGGCAAGCCCTGACTTGGAATTCTAAAGGGAATCGATTCTATTTCCCGATGTAATGTGTTCTTTGGCCTCCTTCTTTTTCGCTTCCCTTTAGGATTTTATATATCTATAAAAATTGTTGCTCTGGCTGTTAGCAGGGGCATCGACCTTGTGACTTCCGAAAAATTTAGGCTTTCATCCTGAGGCGTCATAATTTTTCCTTCAATCCCCATGGTAGAGTTTAAATGGTTTAATTTGTTTAATCTGGTTGGCGTGTTTTTGGCAAGATTTTTTTCTACGGGATGGGGTTGCCCACCCCATACACAATCCTCATCTTTTGTGTGACCTTGGGACCGGTAGTAACTTTAGGAGAGCTACAGGCGGAGTTTGATTAGTCATACTGTATAATTAATTTTACCTATTAGTTAACTTTATCAAACATTTAGGTCATAAGTTTAATCTTTTCACAATTACTGAATAACTTATCATTTTATTTTTTCTCTGAAAATTCAATATAATAATATTGAAAATAAAACTTTGTCTAAGTGCATTGTTTTTGACATTTTTATTGGTTTATCAATGTCTGATAAGCTTAAATAAATTTGATTCAAGTTAACATATAAATGTGATAACCTCATAAAAGGCTAAATTATTCTTGTTGAATACCATGATTATTAGATTGTCATTAGTTCGTTTAGTATTACTAATATGTTTTGTAGATTTTCTAATATGTATGCCAAATAATAAGATAAATTTTACTGGTAGTGCAACAACTATTACTACTACAACTACCCCGGGTACTACTAGAACTGTCACTACTACTGAGCCTATAACAACTACAACTTTTGAGCCAACTACAACTCATGGTGTAATTACAACAACAAATGGAGAAACCACTGAAACATCACTGATAGTAACAACTATTGGTTCTTTGAACAGTAACATAACTAACTCATCAACAAATTTGTTGAATTCTATAAACACTTCCTCACTACATTTCAATGATTCATCCTTAAATGTAAGAGAAGAGAGTAATTTATCGAATGGGACAATAAATACTACTGAGTTCATGCATAGTACAGCTTTGCCAACAACTACAAACAATGACATAAGTGGAACAACTATCCGATATCCCAGAACAACTTTATCACCACCAATAGAAAAACATGCTAATAACTTAACTAATACTACTAATCCTTCAACTAATTCATCTCGACGACACTCTATAAAAGGAAGAGTTATTTTAGCTACAACACGTGAACAAGGTAGTAGAGTATGGGGATTAACTGCAGCAAAAGCTGAATTGGCTTGTCATAGATTTATAACTAATCGTAGAATTACTTCACCATTAACCAATCGGACAAGTAATGGAAATGTTAAACCAACTGATTTATATCAAGGTCATTTATTATCAGTTACATCAAATGATGAGGTAAGTGTTGACTGTTTTTCTAAATACATGTCATATGAGCGTATGATAGCTTATAATCCATAAAGTTTTCATTGATTACTGTGCTTTATTTCAAATTAGCTTGAAAAGCAATAAACAGTTGTTGAATATGCAAGTTTCTTTGTTCATTTTTCAAGCAGTTAGAAAGGAAATATAATTACAAAGGGAAATTCGGCAAGACTATAATTTATGGACGAACCAATCAGGTATAAGATAACAGGTCTCGGATTTTGGCGCGAAATTCACTCAATCCATTTGGCTAAATAGAGTTTTGGCATTATAGCTGATGTCAGTTCGTGATGAAAACCCTAAATCTATTTCCTAACCTTAACTATCAACTGTAAATCATAATTCGAATTCCTCACACTAATTTATAACCCTCATTTGGTACTATTTATCAGGTAGACACTCCCAAGGTCAGTCTAATGTCGCTCAAATGTTGTCCATAAATTATAGTCTCACCGGAAATTCTCTTCAAAATGAATTAAACTACATATCTGTTTATTATATTGTTTTGTATTAAGAATCTGCTTGGTGTGATATTTATAAAGTAAGCACAATTGTTGAACATGAAAAAGATAACACTTTTTCTAAAAATGATAAAGAAATAAAAGTTTAGTGTAGTTGAGACACAAATTTTTAGATCCATACAGCTGGAAAGTATTTACGCAAAAACTTAACTAGATATGATTTCCGTTATAAGCTAACACTAGGTGGAAAAACACTAAAAATCAGGAAGTTCAGAACTCCTCATAAGTGAAAACCTATGATATGACACCAGTAAGGATCTAGGAGGCTCAAGGTTTAATATATGTAGACTGATAATATAGAATACCATGAAGAAAAGGATATCATTGTTTTTAATATGAGTGATGATTAAAAACTTTTTTAATTTGAAGATGATGTATACTATGAACCAAATTCAATTAGACTAACATCTGGTAAGCGGATCCACTTTACTATGTCAAGTACGATGCCAATCAACTGTTTACTGCTCATTAGATTTCGGTGGTCACCTGGTTATAGTTAGTTCAAAAAAGACTGTTTCACTCGCCAAAAGGTTTAAGATAAGTTGTAGCACTAATTGCAAGTATGCCTTGTTTTAGTCAGTATTCTTAGTTACGTCCGACTTTAACTGTAACTTTAATTGGTTGACATCTGTATTTTACACAATAAGGTTTTAGGGAACTCTATTATTTTGATCATACATCAAATTAAGTTTGAAAATTATCTGGAAAGAAAGAGTATGAAATCAACAACGTTTCTATATAACAACCCATTTTAGAATCGAACTAAAAATCAAACAATCTCGTGGCTGTATTACATATTCATTTCGTAAACACTGCATTTCATCAGTGTAGACCAAAGTTTTTTAATGAGAGTCTATAATGAAATACATATATATACATATATTTTCCTTTTTCATAGTCAGTACTGCTTAATATTACCGCTTATCATAAATATATCTAACATACAATTTTAATAACTGTTAGTCATATAATGTAACTAGTTGTTCTGTTTTTATGAGTTGTGACACATTTCATTTGATTAAGCATTGTTTTATTAGGCATTCTTATTGGTTGTCTTGTTAAAAACTCATCCTAATTCGGAACTCATCAGTATTGTTGTGCGATGACAAAATCAGTTAGTTGAAATTATTTTCGTGACTAATTTGCTACTCTTCGTTAATAAGTAAATGTAAAAATGTGACGTTTTGTTTGCTGATTAAAATCTGCTATCAGTAACAGTGATAATAATTTCATATTGTTACAAACTGATTGAAGTTTTAACCCATTAACTATTAGATTCTAAGCAAAGATGGATGGTAGCTAGTAGTGGAATCCAGGACGCGCGTTTCGTCCTATTTGGGACTCGTCGGATGGATGTACCTGCATCCCACAGTTGATATTCACTGGGATATTCAATGGGAAGTTCCAAATAAACAATACAAAATGAATTTATTCAGTTCTAACTTCCAAAATGAGAAAAAACACATCCCACAAAACACTCTAGTTCTGTTATCAGTTTTGTCAATTCATCGTACGATAATCAATAAAACCGTCGAAACTCAGTTTTTGATGTAGACTTAATTTGGGTGAATATGTAGCACAATGGATTTTTGTCTTCACTCAACTAAAAAACTTACGATACCTACATCCTACTGTTTTACAACGTTAGATTTTTGATAACTACGCTCAAATCAGTAACTGTGGTAATAGGGGGTGATGTTAAAAAATGTATCGAATAAATTGCTTCTGGAGGATGCACACTAAGAAAAAAGCTATTGATCAAATAACAATTTGTATCGAAAATCTAACACGTGTCTGATTTATTTAAAAAAAATATATTTTTAATCTGTGCTTCCTGGTTTTCCACGGTGGTCTAGCTTTAATTGACTCATGAATTCAACTATTGAAATAACTACAATCTCCATAAAACCTCTTTTTGATAATAATCATCATGTGCTCATTAGTGACCAGTAGAGATCAACCGGGTCTGTTGTGAGATAGTAACTCACTGACGACAATGGTGGACGGTAGCGCAATATCGTGGATTATTTGAGGTTAGACATTGGAACCGTTGGATGCCAACTCAGTGGTCTAGAGGTTGAGCGATCGCGTGCGATTCCGAAGGTCCTGATTTCGGGCCCCGCGAGCGGGATCTTGGATGCGAACCATCGAGGAGTCCCATACCAGGACGAAACAGCCATCAAGTGCTTCCAGGTCTTCCATGGTGGTCTACCTTCAATTGACTCATGATCTCAACTACTGAAATTGATAATATCATCCTTAATGTATTATTTGTAATGTTCACTTTTAGGATAATTTACATCACAAACTGACTCTACATTAATCAATATCGAAATAAACTATGAATGATTAAAGAAGTGTTTTTTTCTAAACTTTTAGTCAATTTGTGCTTACGACCCATCTAGAGATAAAAGAAAGAAAATTGTTAAAATAGCCAAAACATTTGCTTTTTAACCGGTTTATTAAAGAATTCAGTTAACTACCTCATTCAAATTATACAGAGTAGTTTTTCTCTTCATTACATTTGTGAAAGGATATCAAATATACTCTAGTATTAGAAAATATTATAGTTTTACTACAGGTGAATACCATACTTTGGATTTGGTTAATTTAAACGAAAAATATGACAATAATTATGTATGTTCTACCTAGACTCCTTACACTAGAATATATATACTGAATAATTTGAATCATTAATAGCATTTCTTTTAAACCTGGATATAATGTAGATGCATCTGAGAAAATATATTGGAAGTGAACTAGCTAATTACACAAGTATATATGCTTGTTGATAGGATGCAAATAAATTTATGTTGTTAAGATAAAAGAAAAATCGATTTCATGGAACTTCTTCTCAATGATGAAATAAAATATTAATGAATTTGAGAAAATCATATTTTTGGGTGAACATGTTCAACAATTACATCATTATCAATATAGTGGTCGTGGATATTGTTAAGTTTTTGATTGATATCATGAACCGATTGATGTTAGACCACCATTGAAAACCTGGAAGCACTGGACGACCGTTTCGTCCTATTGTGGGACTCCTCAACAGTGTACATTCACGATCTCGCCCGCGGGATTCGAACCCAGGGCCTTCAGTCTCGCGCGCGAACGCTTAACCTACTGAACCACTGAGCCGGCATCCAATGATGTTAACGTCTAACCTCAACCAATCCACAAAATTGCGTGACCACAATAGAAGGAAACGGCCGTCCAGTACTTCCAGCTTTTCAATGGTGGTCTAACATCAATCGGTTCATGATCTCAATCAAAAGTTACATCATTATCGTACTTGATTTGTTAAAATTAGTGTTTTACTGTTCTAACAATATTATTTTAAACGTTTTCATGTGATGACTAAGATATTTATTAAGCTGATTAAAAACCTACACAAAAACTATTTCAAACTCATTATTTGATGTAGATATTATTATGATATTCTTTTCAACTTTTTAATAAACTTTAAAAACTAGATTAGATATATTAATTTTAAAAGTGAATTTGTCAGAAGAAAGAAAGAACTCTGAATCAGTCTCTTTTATTTTATGTTCCAATGGATATATTCCGTTTACCTATGGAGTTGACAAACAGAATGTGTATTAATGTCAGAAGGGATTTTTGTGGATATTATAGTAATTTTAATAGTTGAAATCATGAGTCAATTGAAGCTAGACCACCCTGAAAAACCAGGATGCACTGGACGGCCGCTCCATCCTACCACGGGACTCCTCAGTGGCAGTGCTCATCCATGATCCCGCCTCGCGAGATTTGAACCTAAGACCTACCGGTTTCGTGCACGAGCACTCAACCACTAGACCACTGAGCCAGCATCCAACGGTGTTATCGTCTAACTTCAACCCATCCACAAAATCGCGTTACCATCCACCATTGTTTTCCGTGAGTTACTATCTCACAACAGACCAGGTTGAACTCCACTAGTCACTGCTTCTCACTAGAACTCCATGAAATACCCCTTGAAACCAGTTACTAGTGAGTATATGTTGATTAATATCAGAAGGGATATTCATTTTTAATCTTTCTTGAATTGATCATCATTATATATTAGTTAATAGATCAAACTATCAATGATAATACTTTCATTACAAATTTGATAAAACTGTTACATTTCATCTAACCATCGAGTAAGTAACGCAGTTGTTAGGACACAAGTACTAGGTAAAGATGGCAAACCGATTGATGAAGTGGTGGAACTTCATCAGTTGAGATGGCTGGGACACATGTTACGTATGCCCAACCACTGACTGCCTTGACGTGCGATGTTTCGTGGTACAGGAGTAGGTTGGAAGAAAGGTAGGGGTGGCCAGACCAAAACATGTCACAAATCCATGAAGTCACTGACAAGTGGACTGAGTCATGTTGGTAGGTTTAGACTACCTGATTGGGATCCGCGAGACGATAGCAATCGATGGTTAGAGACCTTGAATGACATGGCTCAAAATCGTTTGCAATGGCGCAAGTGCATCCACTCTTTGTGTTCTCCCAAATTCTAATATTCTGAATTCTTCATGTCCCTTTTTTTCACTTTCCAAATCTATTTCACTGGATTATACTCCTTGGATAACATCTTTGAACCCTAGTCCTTCCGATTATTGCTTATACTTTTACTACCTCTACCAATATGGGATTTGAATCGACAATTGCATCTGTGTGCTAATATGGTATGGCAACTCGAACTGATGTACATACGTACGAAGTTCTACGTTGTTACTGACTGGCCTGACTGACATCTAGCATAATAATATGCACTCATTTTTTTTTAGGTATTATAACTTATTTAGGATTCTTTTCTAAAGTGATAAGGAGGAAATATTGAATATTGTACAATAAAAGTGTATAATAATATTATATGATGTAATAAATATTCAATTCAATGTTAATATTCATGCACTTTTTCATTCATTCATGTTGTTATACGTCACAATATTCACGTTTCAATAATTTTCTTTATATGCACTGACTAGACAATATTTAACCCCTCAGTTCAAAAATACAAAAAAAAATAAATGAAGTGGTTAAATGTCTAAATGTAATTTGATTAGTTTACAATGTATTAAATAATGAATAAATTGTTTATATAATTGTGAATTGTCGAAATCATTAAATTTATATTTAGAATAGATTATTACAATAGAGCTATTTAAATGAACGATTATTTCATTTAGATTTTTCTTATAACCTATCACTTCCTATTTTGTTCAAGTTACACATGTACATAATAAAATAAACATCGATGGATGCCAGTTCAGTGGTCTAGAGATTAAACAAGACCAGAGATCCTGAGTTCGAGTCCCGTGTGTGGACGAAACGGCCGTCCAGTGATTCCAGGTTTTCAATGGTGGTCTAGCTTAGATCGACTTGTGAATTCAACTTTTAAAATACAACAATGTCCACAAATCCCCAATATTGATATTGTGTATAAATCGAGTGACAAAATAACACTAAACAAAATGAGTGTTTGGGTTTTACTAAACCTTGATTATTAATAAATTTTACTGACATTTTTTCTTTGTTATGCGGATTGTTATGAGCATGTGTGCCTACAAATTTTTTCGTTCACTTTTTTTCTACTTTACCAAGTATAAAGAAGGGAATTTTCACCGTTTCATCTTCTCTTGAATAAATTTCTTTCATCAAGACTAATTTAAAAGAGAATAATTGTCAATTATACTAGTTATTATAGCAACGGGAAACTATTGATCTTTTTATTTGAGAGTAACTACATTGTAACATTAAAATGAGGGTAGGGAGTAATTATTTCATCTCACAGCGATTCCCTTATTATAATCATAGTACTCATTGAAGAGTTAAGGCTATTTTCTTAATTTATGAGTTATAAAAAATCAATAGTAAAGAAATCTTTTCGTCATTAACTTGCCCTCGACATTTTATCCGGTGACACTGATCAGTCATAGTTTCTTATCCTAGTTAAGCGAACGCCCTGGAAACACCCTTCAGTTTTATTATTATCATTAAAATTTACTGACTGTACTTCAGGTGTAAATTATGTACATCAGATATTATTACCCGGAACTATTTTCACTATACTTATTTTCAAACTCATTAATTTGGATGATAAACAAGTGCTTTATCGGCTGTCATTACTGTTAGTGATTCTTTCTAAATCATATTCATCGACTTAAAAAATAAACTATTTAATCGTAAAACTATTTTCCTAAGGAAAAAGTCACCAGAGCGAAGAATTATTACTTTTCAATTAGGTATTCACTAAGGCTCCATACTGAATTATGCGTTTTATAATAATAATGCAGTCAATACAAATCAAATGTTTTTTTCGTAATTTTCAGATTATACACTTAGTAAGCCTCATGGGTACAGTACCAGTTGGATCATATTGGACAGGGGGTAAATTAATGAGACCAAGACATACTGGAGTGTTTGGTGAAAATGCTACTAAGTGGAAAGTGATGTTAAACTGGTCGGATGGTCGAACTGCTCCTGCAAAAATATTGGGTATAACTGATGATGACGCAAATAATCTTGTAGAGGGTATGACTTATTGTCTGTCGTTAGATATTGCACGACTTACGTGGCAAGCTCGTGATTGTGAACATCGTTTGCCTTATGCATGCTTGATTACTAGACGAAATGTTCTAATGCAAACTACCACTAGTAATTCATCAATAGAAGTTAAGACACCACAAGAAATAAATAGTACACAAATTTCTGCTAATCACAGCCATGTTATTTCGAAACTTCGTGAAACGGTACCCGAAAATTCTACTACAGTTGTTAACACTTTAGTAAATACTAATCATTCAGAGAACAGTCAAACAATTTCACTTTTACTGGAGTCCACTGAATCTACTCCAGCAAGCATAACCATAACACCAAATAATACAGAGAATTCAACTCTTGGGATAAGTTTTAACATGTCATCTGAAATTCAGAATACTTCACAGATGGATACCACAACCCCATCTAGTTTACCTCCTATAGTAACTGGGAATAATAATTTTAACCAAAATGAAAAAACCGTTTCCGAGTCAACGATCCAAGTAAATGAGCAGCTTGTACAATTCACAGAACACGCCTCCGAAACTAATCAGACTTTCAGTGTTCCTTCTCTTCCTAAAGCTCAGGTATCTATGAATGGTAATGGTGGTAATAATGGTAACGGTGACGATGATGATGATGATGACGATGGTGATGATGATGATAACAGTGGTGAAAATGGTAATAGCGGTCCATCCCTTTTCAGTTCAAGTGGACTGGGTACAAACGATTTAGAATCCATATTGATGAACATTGAACGTTTGCACACAACAACACATCCACCACCGCCAGAAATTCCTACTACTACTGCTACTCCCACAACTACTAGTACTACTACAACTACAACAACAACTGCTACTACTACTCCCACCACTATTATTACAACCCCCGCTACCACTACTATTAGTACTGCTACTACCAGTTCCAATACTAATACTACTACTACTACTACTACTATTCTTGATAATACTTCTACCAGTACTACTGCTACTTCTACCACTACTTCTACTGTTAATACTACTCCTACCACTCCTGTTACTGATACTACTACTCCCACTAATAGTACTACTATTGCTTCCACAACAACTACTATTTCCACCACTACTAATACTACTATTCCTGATAATACTTCTACCACTACTTCTACTGTTACTACTACTCCTACCACTCCTGTTACCTCCACTGTTACTGATACTACTACTCCCACTACTAGTACTACTATTGCTTCCTCAACAACTACTATTTCCACCACTACTAATACTACTATTCCTGATAATACTTCTACTGTTACTACTACTCTTACCATCCCTGTTACCTTCACTGTTACTGCTATTCCCACTCCCACTAATAATACTACTATTGCTTCCACAACAACTACTATTTCCACCACTACTAATACTACTATTCCTGATAATACTTCTACCACTACTTCTACTGTTACTACTACTCTTACTACTCCTGTTACCTCCACTGTTACTGATACTACTACTCCCACTACTAGTACTACTATTGCTTCCTCATCAACTACTATTTCCACCACTACTAATACTACTATTCCTGATAATACTTCTACTGTTACTACTACTCTTACCACCCCTGTTACCTTCACTGTTACTGCTACTCCCACTCCCACTAATAATACTACTATTGCTTCCACAACAACTACTACTTCCACCACTACTAATACTACTATTCCTGATAATACTTCTACCACTACTTCTACTGTTACTACTACTCCAACCACCCCTTTTACTTCCACTATTACTACTGCTACAACAACAAAAACTAATAATAATAACACTATTCCTGCTAATACCACTACAAGCACAGCTACTACTCCTACTACTACCATTACTGCTGAAATCACTACTAGTACTACTGAAATCAATGAAAAAATATCAACAGAAAATACTTCAGATAATAAGTCGTTATGGTCGACTGTTTTGTTAAATAATTCCTCTGAAGAAATGACAACCTCTACAACACCTGAAATAAACTCACGGGAATCGACTACGGTAATGATACAAGCAGAGTCTTTGATGACAACCGTATCCAGTTCGACAGTAAGTGTTGAAACAACATCAACGCCACTAATTGGATCTGAAGAAACAACGATATCCACACCTGAGTCATCAGAAGCGGGGATCTCATCTGTGTTAACAACACCAGTGTCATTCCAATCGACGGCAACAACTGAGTCGACGACACCTTCAGGATCTTCACCAACAGAGACAACTACGTCACCAACCACGAAGATTCAGAGTTCATTACCACTGTCAACAAACGAACCATCTCTATCAACAACATCTATGGAGCTTCAATCAGTAAGGACATCTGAGGCCATAACATCAACGACATCCCAATTAAATAAGTCAACAGGACCAAACACAACTCTGGAATCAGAGTCAACAGAAAATAAATTTGAATCTAGTACACCTATATTATTACAGCCAACGACCTCATCTGTATCAATAACAGCAACAGAGTCTACGGTTACGGAAACCATGCCATCTGAAACAGAAACTAGTTAACATAATGAATGAAAATAATTTATTGATTGAACTATTTTACATAATTGAGTAACTATTTAAACTTGTTCAGTTGTAATACTAAGTTACAAAATTTTCAATATTGTATTTTTCTTATATTCAAAGATAAATGATGTTCTAATAATATTGTTTTCCTCAAACAAAACGTTAAGTTATAATATCTTTTGTAATTCATTACAAGAAGATCCTTATAGTTTACAGAAACAGAATTGAATATAAATTCAGGTATAAAAATATTTGTAATCGTAGAAGTTAAAAATCATTGAATTTTTTTTGGTTTGTTGACGCCTTCTGTACTCATAGTAGGTAATATTCGCTTTACGAACAATTATATTGTTTCATATAATCAGTCAGTTTGCTAAAAATAAATAGAAGATCTTTAATATTTTGATTCATTTATCAAATATCGAGTTAGTGAACTCAGTTATGCCATTTTTTCTTAATACCCCATATAGTACATTTTAATCAATATTTAAAACAAAAATTTGATCCTGTAAATGCAGAAAACTGAAAATACAAATTAAACAATCAAAGTAGTATGGGTTAAGTTTTTGACTTTAAGCATTGATTAGCGTCATTATTCAGTATAAGTAATATTATGGAATACTATATTCTGTTGGGCTAATCATTTTCCTATCGTGATCTTAGGTTGCTTAAAATGTTTTTAAAGTGTTGAGATCTTACTTAATAACAATTCTTTGCAGTCGAACCCTAATTATCGTCTTATTATATTCATACAGCTAAATAAAGCATAAGATAATAAGAACTACCTTGTTTCTTATTAATTCATGCTTTTAAATCTTATCCGACCTTGGTAAACTAATGTTCATATCAGTTTCAAACTTGTGCACCAAATGACTATCTAACATATTTCGTATTTTCCAGCAATTACTACTAGAAATATCATACCCAAAACGTCTTATGATGTTGAAGGAAACTGTACACCACCAACTTACACAAGTGGTCTTTTTATTATGGTTATTAAGAAAGGTTAAAGTATATCCCATCTAACTAAGAACATCAGATTTTATTTGAAATTCAATAATCTGACACCTCTGCAAATCGAAAAATTACTGTCACATGGACACATTCATATAAAATAAACAGACTTGAAAACGTATAAGTCATTCACCAAATATTTATTACAAAATATTAACATACATAGTTCTGTCTCAGGATAACTTGGTAAGGAAATTCGGAGTTAATTTCATTCTATTCATTCTAACGTTCCATAATAATTACTTCAAAATATAGTCTATATATAGAGCAAGGTAGAATAATTTACCTGGGATCGAACAATGAAGTAAGAAAGACTAAGAGGCTGAGAGCCTAAGCTAGTTAAGATAGCTTATTTAATGAGAACCAGATAAACTATTGTACAAGCATACCAAAACCAGATCGTTGAGATTAGTAATATGACAAGAAATCTAACATTCACTGTTGTTTAATGATATAAATATCGTGATCCAAGAGGAATTGTCAATGATAGTACCATGCTTTTGAAACGTCCTCTTATGATGTGCAATAGCCTGACACAAGTTTAATAAAAAGGATAGCGGTTGTCTGAATGGATGTGGCATTCATTGTTCATGTTATCAACAAGTTGCGGAGTCAGGACACGATGACCTTCATTTTTAACTCAGATACAGTCCAAACTTTATTCGCTCATATGCTTAGAACAGTACTAATCTATCGACTGTCAATGAAATTAAAGTTAGTATAACATAGATCCGACAAACACGGTAAATATCACTACGTTGTAATTAGTTAACAGATAGTTCTAGTTTACTATTATGAATACACTTCCCAAGCCAAAAGACTTTGTCACAAATATATAAAGATTAGAATTGACAAAAAATCAATCATTTTACTTATGTTCGCTGGGAATATTTTTCCAAAGTAAATCTTTACTAACTATCAGGTAACTCAAGTCTATTATTTTCACTTATAATTACAGTCAATTGACTCACGTTTATCTATTTACGCCAAGTATACACTCAAGAAGACAAATAGACTTAATAAATGTGACAAATAATGAATTACCAGTTGATTGTTCGAACAATAAGACAGTAAATAAATAAATCTCTATGATATAATTTAAAGAAAGTAAGAAAATACGTTATTTCAAGATGTATATTCCATCATGTTTTGAATTTGACTTCCTGCTCAAACATCAGAATACTAGCTACAAAAATATGAATAGTGATAGGCAGTTCTGTTTTGACAATTGGTTGTCCCTAAAACAGCTGCTTTCCATGTTTAAAATGATCAGCGTTTGTGGATATGATTGCATTGTGCAGAACTCACTATTATTGTGGCCTTGTCAAGATACTATCCACCATAGTCAAGGTAGATAATCACAATTTATCCATACAAAGAGGTTATACGGTAACAGTGTCAGTAACTCATGCATGGTGATAGTTGTAAGTAGTCGTCAGGAAATCCTGGACCTAGGTTTCGTGCAATTTGGCACAGGCGACCAAGCTCAGTGGTAACGTCTCTGACTTTGAAGCTGCATAATACACTATCGATTCTACTATAAGGTATCACTTCCTTCAAGATTGCACGTAGGCCTTGCTGACAAATGCAAAATGGCACGAAATCTAGGTCGAGGGTTTCTCGTAAACTACCTCCAACCACCTTACATCTCAAAATAGTGCACATGATGTCCATTCACTTAGACTAGTGGCCATATCACAATAACTAATAGCTTGTTCGTCCTAATTCCATAGACTCTTGGGGTAAAATGCATTTCTTAAACCATCCATGGGCATAATTTAGATCTTTTCAAGTTATTTTGTATTTAACAAGTCTCAAATACCTTTCAGTAAAATGTGGGGTGTATAAATCCGTTTATGTTAACAAAAGCCGATGGAAAGATGGTGCCTATTTTGATGTCTGATAATTTCAATTTTAGTCAATCAGTTATAGAGCCCAACCCATGAAACATATTTTCGAAATAACATATTCGAGATGCATGGTTTCACAAAAACCAAACGAGATTTATGTAGAGAAAGTTTCTCATAATTCATGTGATTATTGTATATAACCGGATAAGGTGCATTTCACTAGTTACTACATAACTAAATCGACACACGGATTCATTTATTTTGTGGATTCTCCTCAGGTGCATACAGGTTAAAACCATAGTATTAATCATTAAAACGAAACAAGTACACATACTTTATATCGGAAACATTTAGAATAAACTGAGTTGAAATGTGAGAATAAAATAACGTACGCAATAATCCCACGAAAATAAGGTCACCAGCGTAGAACGAGATATATAACTTTCTTTCTGGATACATTAATTCAGTCTAAATCTTTTTATTGCAATAGCTTCGGCAAAGCAAGTCTGTGAGATGGAAAATTGATCATCGATATGATAAATCTAACGGAAATATCAGGTTTGTGTAATTTTGGTTGTCTATACAAATAAGGCAATCTGTACACCCGAAGTTTCAGGACATTATATGTTTGATTATTAATTAAATTCTTATTCAAAGGTCTCTAAAACTTGCTTGTGATATGCCTCTCTGTTGCTTCAGACGTATTCTTTTTCGATCAGTCAACTAGGATACTAACAGAACCATATAGAACCGTCTTAGCTTTGTTAACATAGTTTTCTTCATCCACCAGAGCTCTTATCACTTTGCGGCTTGACTACACGTCGAAGAATTTTCAATGGAGGCAATTCACATAGGTGGGTAGTTTTGAGAAACTAACCAGGACAGCAGAAGGAAGTTGAAGACTGTTCAGAAAACCTTGTTCTCTTAACTTCTCTGGCTAATATGCATCGAATTATTATCAGACGATTCAGTGACTTGAATGATTGAGGTGAAATCATGAACTCACGCTATTCTGATACAATATTTCTTCTCTCTCTATTCAAATATATAAATGGGGAAAGTTGTACGAAATAAATCGACACCGTTGAGTGCTATTTGAGTTATCATGGTCGATTCATTATATTCTGAAGATAAATTAGTCTTGCCCATATTTTACCGACTGTAAATAAATTTTAGATAACGAGCAGCTATTCCTTGTCTAGTGTGACTAATAGTCACCCCTCATTCGGATGGGGATTTTAAATCCATAAATACAATAAAGTAAGAAGAAACTAGTTGGAAGACTATGTATGGTTTTCGTTAAATTATTGCACTAATTGTGTTTTCTATCCATTTGGCTTTTAGTGAATTCAGGGTAAATTTCACTCATTATAAAACTAATTTTTTTATCAATCAATTCATTATGATTCTTTATTCATTGTAATATTCAACTGCATTAATTCTGAAATTTGTGTTCAGGCAACAACTGATCAGTTTATTACTGTAACTAATAATAATTGGATTTAGTCGGAATGTAACATGAAATTTTTCTTCGATTTTACTAAAATCCTCATCAGCAGATAGGTTTTGGAGCGGTCGAGGCTAAGAGAAGGAAGCTTCCGTATCCTCGTTAGGTTTGTTGTCAGAGTTAGCGCTGTTGCAACTAATCATAACACACAAATCGCCCCATTTCTGTAATCAATGCAAAGAGTACTTTGTCAGTATATATTTAAATTGGATCTACCAATCAACATGTTTTGATTCATTTAGGAAGTGTTGTACGAGTCAGTCAGAAACAATGTAGAACTTCGTACTCACGTACATCAGTTCAAGTTGCCACACCACATTAGCACAGAGATGCAGTTGTCGATTCGAATCCCGCAGTAGTAGAGGTAGCAAGAGTATAAGCAATAATCAGGAAGATTAGGGTTTGGAGATGTTATTTAAAGAGTATAATATAGTGAAATAAATTTGGAAAGAGGAAAAAAGGGACATGAAGAATTCAGAAGATTAGAATTTGGGAGAACATAGAGAGTGGATGCACCTACGCCATTGCAAACGATTTTGAGCCATGTCATTCAGGGTCTCTAACCATCGGTTGCTATCATCTCGCGATCCCCAACCAGGTAGTCTACACCTACCAACATGACTCAGTCCACTTGTCAGTGACTTCATGGACTTGTGCCATGTTTTGCTTTGACCGCCCCTAGCTTTCTTCCAACCTAATCCTATACCACTGAGCATCGCACGTCGAGGCAGTCGGTCGTTGGGCATACGTAATACGTGTTCCAGCCATCTCAACTGATGAAGTTTCACTACTTTATCCACTGATTTGCCATCCTTACCTACTACTTGTGTCCTAACAACTGTGTTACTTACTCGATGGTCCCACGATATACGAGCAATATTTCGAAGACACCTATGATCAAATACTAGTAACCTACGAATATCCTTTACTCTTACCGACCATGTTTCACTGCAATAAATTAGGACGGAACGAACTGCTGCTCAGTAAACACGTCCTTTTGTTGATAGACGGATATCTCGCCTACGCCATAAATGACGCAAGTTGGCAAAAGCTAGTCGAGCTTTCTGTATCCGTGCTGAGATTTCGTCACACACCAGACCACAAGGGCTGATGAGACTTTCAAGATAAGTGAAGTGGTCGACGCACTCAACTACTTCACTCCCTATCATTAGTTCGGGTGTCGATGTAACCCAATCCTGAAGCAACATTTTGCATTTCGAGGGAGAGAATCGCATCCCGAACATGTTTGCATTGTTGCTTGGAATGGTCAGAAGACTCTGCATTTTGTCACCGTCTTCTCCAAATAGAACTATGTTATCGGCATATTCCAAGTCAACAAGTGAATCTCCCGGTAGAAGTTCAACCCCTGGAAATCTAGACGAGGAGAGTGTTATCTCTAAAAGTACGTCGACCACAAAGTTGAACAAGAATGGGGAGAGTGGACAGCCCTGACGAACACCACTTGAGGTAATCAATTCTGATGACAGTTCGCCATAAGCTCTCACTCTACCAGTTGTGTTCGAGTGGAGAGCCTTTATAAGGTTAATGTACTTCTTTGGTACTCCTTTCAGTGACAAACACTGCCATAGAACCTCACGATCAACAGAGTCGAATGCCGCCTTAAGGTCGAGAAATACTACCATTGTGGGGCGTCTGAATGTGTGTCTGTGTTCTAGAACCTGACGTAGTGTGAATATCTGATCTATACAACCACGTCCAGGTCGAAAACCGGCCTGGTTTTCTCTAATCTGCTCTTCACGAGCTTTGATTAGGCGTCGAAGTATTGTTGAAGCTAATATTTTAGACACTATATTAGTCAAACTGATTCCTCTGTGATTGTCACAAGAGGACTTTTGTCCTTTCTTATAGACTGGCACAATCAGTGATTGAGACCAGTCAGATGGGATTACGTCCAGTTCCCAAATTCTACCTAAGACCTCGGTTAATCTCATTGTTAATACTGGACCACCATCCTTAAAAATCTCAGGAGTAAACCTGTCAGGGCCTGCTGCTCTCCCTCGTTTCAGATTTCCTATAGCTTTTTCAACTTCGTAAAGAGACGGAGGACCTACATTAACTTGTCATTCAGGTTGACTAGAGATCGTGGGAAACCGAAGTGTGGCTGAAGGCCAGTTGAACTGATCCCTAAAGTGTTCTGCCCATCGATCTAATCTCCTGGATTGAGAATGAATAATATGTCCATCTTTCCCTGAGATTGTTTCGCTAACGGTCGGGTTCCTAATTCCGGTTTCCTTAACGAGTCTGAACAATTGTCTGCTATTACCTATTGCCGCTACCTTTTCCATCTCTCTTGCTTTCGCTACCCACCACTGTTCACGATCATTGCGTAGACTTCTTGTCAGCTTGCGCTTAAGCTGACTCCGCTCTTCATTATGTTCAGAGCCAGGTGGAATGAGTTTCCGAGCATCTATCAGTGAGATAGATGCTGCTGAGATCCAGTGTTGCTCCCTAACATTCTGGTTTACCTTACTAGCAGATATCACTGCTGTTTCCACAGCTTTTCGGATATCATTCCATGCTGCATTAGGGTGGGCATCACATACATGGCTGCCTAACTGTTTTCCTAGTTGTTCCTGAAATATACTCTTAGCTTGACTATCATTAAGTAGGCCCCTAAAAGTTTTACTTCCAGCGTCTTTCCTACGTCCAGTAAGACGCAGACAGATACGCGCTCGTACTAGAGCATGATCTGAATCTAAGCATGTGCTCCAGAATGAGCGACAGTTTTCTATCGAGCCTCTCCAACGGTGGCTGATAGCGATGTGATCTATTTGGGTCCAACGTTGGGACGAATTAGGGGGTCGCCATGTTAAAAGATGTTTTTCCTTATGCTTAAAGTTAGTATTTGCAAGGAACAGGCGGTTATCTGAGCATAGCTGCAACAGACGGTCGCCATTATCTGTTCTTTGAGCCACGACACCATAAGATCCATCTAGGTGTCTTTCCCTATCGCTTAGTTTACCTACTTGAGCATTAAAGTCACCGGCCACTATTACTACATCCCAGCGCTTAGCTTTTCGGAGAAGGTCCGAAAGCTTTCTGTAAAACTCATCTTTTACATCATCTGAGCTGCAGTCAGTGGGAGAATAGGCAGAGACGACGAAGAGGCAACGACGAGTGTTCCTATCTTTCCGGATTCTTACTGTTCCGTTCAGTTGGACAGCGCACAAACGACTGTCTACTGGGATCCACTCTAAGAGAGCTAGTTCTGCCCTAGGACTCAATGCTATACCTACGCCGGCGAGGCCACGGGAAACAGAATCAGGGCTTCCAGATACACGAAGCGTAAATCGAGTCGGTTCTTTATTTTGGCATGGTGAGGTCAAATGAATGACGCTACTTGGATCCTGTATGCGCGTTTCGGAGACGCAGCACACATCGATGGCGCGAGATTCTAAAATTTTAGCTAAGGAAGCCTGCTGTCCTATTTGGCACAGTGTTCGTACGTTAAAAGCTCCTACGTGTAGTTTAGAGCGTGGTTTCAGGAGACCAGGAATGGCGTTCCACGTACTCGAATCGTTTGCCCTAGCGGTGCGAGGTGATAAAGAGACGTGAGGAGGGTTAGTCATGGAGATAAGAGAGGTATTAGGAGGTGTAGGAAGGATTTGAATGTGACCAACTTGGTCTCTTGTGCTGTTACGGATATGAGGGCTGATATCACTTCCCGGCTGCCCACACCGTGGAAGGGTATTTCTTGAGGAACCTGAAAAGGAAATTGGATTAGTGTTGGTCTTGACCACCTGGGAGCGTGACCGCAGAGCCCAAGGGACAACTGCTTGAGGCCGGTCGCGCGCGGCCTTTTTGTGGGAGGTTTTTGACGTGTTAGCTCCGTTCTTCAAAGGGCCTTACCGCCGGAGACGGAAATCCGTGAGGTAAGGTGAGGTGTGACATTTTTAGGGTCGACCTTTTTTAACCCCACCCCTCCTTGTGGGAAGGCAGCATCGCTGTCATGCTGGTTGTCCGAGGGAAACACCTCACTGCTGTCACACCTCTCTACAGTCAGCAGTACGACTTCGCCCTCAGACCTTGAGTTGCTGCTTTTAGTTTTACCGTTCACCAATCGACCTGCCTGGCATGGTAGAACCTGCAGGAACATATGTTCCAGCCAATATAGCTCGGTTGGGTCATCACGATAGGCAAGCCCGACCACCGCGTCAAGGTAGCAGCTTCGATCAGGTGTTGTACGAGTATTTACTAATTAACCAGACTTCCTAGATCCACTGGTACTTCCCAACATTGATTAGTTGTTTTAACTAACTCACTAGCCATTCACTTGTATATGAGCCAGACTAGACGTATGGGGACTAATGAAACTAGCAGGTTGCCCAAACTGAAGTAGGTGAGACGGGGTTGGGACTTAATGGCTGTAAGATGGACGTCTTAGCCACTAAGTCACTGCTACAACTACGTTTCACTACAATAATCATTGGTATTTTTTACAGCAGGATACTTCTTTCATAATAGACAAGGTGCTTAAGGAATCCTTTCTTAAAGATACCCAAACAATTCATCTTTCGATCTCACTAATACCTTCCGAGTTATACTTTTTGGATTTAGTTTTTGAGTACAGATGATACTTTTTTTTTTCGTTACATATTTTTCATCTTATTGATCTCTAGATTCTACGCTAATGTGACAGTTTAAACGGGTTCACATTCATACTAAGAGTAGTACGATGTCTAAAACTAACCGACAAACTTATCAAGTTACATTGGTAGAGATTTATTGAAGTAAAACATGCATTTAACTTTCAAACAATTAAGAATGAAATTTTGTCTAAACATATAGTTTATTAAGTTTATATTTTAATGACAATACAAATTATGAGTAAAATCCATTGTATTATTATACGGCTAAAGTAATGAACAAATATTCATTTTTCATCATAGATAATAACGATGAAAATATTTCATAACTGATTTGTACATTTGAAAAACACATAAAGAAAATAGATTGAATGTACGTTGTTGCTGTTGTAGTGTATTCAAACAAACACATATATATCTATTTAAATATGCATAGAATAGATGATGTAAACAAAATAATGATCATATAAATAGAACCAGTTTTTTTTTTGTTGTTGTTGTTTAAATGCCATTTTACAAAACGTGAATTACATAACGAAATACATCTTCAAAATACTCATAATGAAAACACATGAACAATTAAATGTACACAAAATGAAAGGATATATATTTCAGAATGACTGATATACAATAGTCAGTCGTGTAAATAATAAATATATATATGCTTCACTCTACTAATGACAATAATGATGATAATGATCATAATAGTAATAGTAATGATTATTATTATGTTTAGATACAACTAAAACATTGCACAAAATAATTCATACAATGTTATGAACACAATATTCAATGTGATTACTTAGCTGGTACATCATAAAACAACCATGCAAGGGGATAACGAATCATAAATGCGAAACAAGAACAGAGTATCTGAAAAAAAGGGAGAATAGGAATTAATTGATTATTTTCCGTGAAGTGATTTTGGAAGGAACTGAGATAAATTGAATAATTGATACAGAAAACCAGAAACAATTAAATAATAATGCTAGTTAAGTTAGTCAGCTACAACGTAGGATCAGGCACATATGTGCATCGGTCCAAGTTGCCATACTTCATTAGCACAACAAGATGGACACCGCAAACCCTTAACCTTTACATCACTAAGCCAGTATCCAGTGGTGAATATCAATCAATTTACAATATTGCACAACCTTCATACATGTGGATAATTGGCTAACACAAGAAATGAGGGGTCGTGGATACACAACGCTAAACAGTCCCATAGTAGAATGAAACGGTCGTCTAATGCTTCCAGTTTTTTGGAGATAGTCTAGCTAAGATCAATTTGCAATTTTAACTATGAAGATTACATATATTTGTTATGTAACAAAAGGAAATTTATGGTATGATGGGTGCATTATTATGAATTTTAAAAAAACATTTCCATCCAAAGTGCAACAAATGTGCATTTTGTATAGATTTGTGTGACACAATAAGAAATCGAAAAGATATCCACTTACAAACTTTGTTAATTAAATATATCTTTAACTAGTTTTATTTCGAGTCATGAACAAGGTTTTGTTCGCATACAATAAGTGTAGCTCAAATCAAAAGTTACATTAGTATGTTATCAATAACAGATAAACAGAATTTTTTGTTTCTTAATCTTATGAAACGATCAATAACAACGTAGACCTTCGTACGCACGTACATTAGTTCGAGTTGCCATACCACATTAGCACACAGATGCATTTGTCGATTCAAATCCCATAGTGGTAGAGGTAGTAAAAGTATAAGCAGTAATCAGAGATATTAGGGCTCAAAGATGTTATTCAAGGAGTATAATACAGTGAAATAAATTTAGAAAGAGGAATAAAAGGACATGGAGAATTCAGAAGATTAGAATTTGGGAGAACACAAAGAGTGGATGCACCTACGCCATTGCAAACAATTTTGAGCCATGCCATTCAGGGTCTCTAACCATCGGTTGCTATCATCTCGCGGATCCCAACAAGGTAGTCTACACCTAACAACATGTCTCAGTCCACTTGTCAGTGACTTCATGGATTTGTGCCATGTTTTGGTCTGGCCACCCCTAGCTTTCTTCCAATCTACTCCTATACCACTGAACATCGCACGTCGAGGCGGTCGGTGATCGGGCATACGTAATACGTGTCCCAGCCATCTCAACTGATGAAGTTTCACTACTTTATCCACTGATTTGCCATCCTTACCTACTACTTGTGTCCTAACAACTGCGTTACTTATCCGGTGGTCCCAGGATATACGAGCAATGTTACTAAGACACCTATGATCAAATACTAGTAACCTACGAATATCCTCTACTCTTACCGGCCATGTTTCACTGCAGTAAACCCGTCCTTTGGTTGATAGACGGATATCTGGCCTATGCCATAAATGACGCAAGTTGGCAAAAGCTAGTCGAGCTTTCTGTATCCGTGCTGAGATTTCGTCATACACCAGACCACAAGGACTGATGAGACTTTCAAGATAAGTGAATCGGTCGACACGCTCAACTACTTCACTCCCTATCATTAGTTCAGATGCCCATGCAAGCTTATGAAACGGAAGAGAACTGTTTACTAACAAGACACCAGCTTATATATAAGTTGTAAAGCATGCAGAAAAAATAAAACCTGACAGTCTCTAGTGCGTGAAACTGATTCACACTTTAGAGGAATTATGAAATTTTGATGGGGATTCTAATAAATTATTTCCAATTTAAGGCTGAACACCACTACTCGGAAGTTACTCTACCCTCCTTTCTTTAGGGATTATCATGGTTTTAAAAGTTATAAACAGAAAGAAGGAATATCTAGGACTAGTAATAATGCTTGGATATGAAGATACTGGATTACGTAACAAATTTTGACCATATTACTCGAAAGTTCTTTGTCCTAAACATTAGAAAGCATGTTGATATCAAACTAGATGTTTAACTGCTATTCGTGAATGACTGACAATACTAGAAACCTTTTTGTGAGGGTTCATCAGCACCCATTCCAGTGTAGACAGTTTTGTACAGGAAAGCTATCAGTATGAAATATTACGAAAAAAAACGATATATACCTGTTGTTTTTTGAAAAGTAATCAACTTTAAGGAGTTATTCTTGGGACTATTTACGCTTAAAAACGAACCAAAGGGGTCACGTCAACCAAGTTAAATGGTCAGACTAGCAAATGCGCTGGTATGGTCAAGAGTGAGCAGAGTCCATTCTCCCTCTCCAAATGCTCTCACATGGCCACGCGTATATAGCCTCTACCAGGGAAGTCCTACTCACTACTTTCTCCTTGCGCGGGTGTTGTTTACGAAATTGAGGGGACGAAAAACGAATGTCCGGGGCTTCAACCGGGTTGGTGGACATGGAGAGTCCACCTAGGAGAGCTGGAAAACCCTGGTTCCAAACCAATGGTGCACATGGGCTCCAGTATCCTGAAAGAACAAATGGCGTATGAACCAATCGTTGGTCACCGGCTGCCGTGGGGCTGTATCTCCTTACGATGCTCCACTGCCTTGTGGACCAGACCTTCAGGTCGAAGGCTCCAGGTGTGGTCCCTTAGGAAAACCACCTACTTCGATTTGGGCGAGCGGGTAGTATCACAGACCTCACACATATCAAATGAGATTTGTGTGGCACATATGTATTTGGTGCCTCCTTGTACCAATATCTATGTGTTAAAATAAATAATACAGTTATAAACTACCCTATCGTACCAACAAATGATTAAACAGTTTGAAATGAGGTTATAGTGTAAACCTTGCTACTAAAGCTCCACAGAGGAACGCCCTCACCGAAGAAAACGAACTAATAGTATGGAATAAATTTGATGTGGATGTTAATAGGTGATCTAACATATCAATTCTAACCTGTCGGCTATTCAGTAGTTTGGGGCAAAATGACGTTTTAGCTCTCTTAAGGTACAAATTTAATAGGAAACTTACTTGAAGTAGCAAAAGAGTATTGGTGGTTTGTTGTTCATTTCTGGGTCCCAAAACACGTAGCATCATATTTATGACAGTAAGGTTGTCTACTTCAACAATCTCTTCAGTAGGTAACTTGGTTTGAACTGGGCTTCTACTCCTAGCTCTTTGTCTTTCCGATGTTTGTTCTTCATCAGAAGACATATTTTCATGAGATGGTTGTGAAACGATCATTCCCGTCGTGGGTGATGTGGAAATATTCGGAATACAATCCGGGCAAAGTTTGCATTCAATTATGCCCACGTACGAAAACACAGTCAAAACAAACTGACCAAGACGTGATAAAGACTTTGGATGAAAACGAACACGACTGGGATGTAATAGACCATCTGCTGGATCGTATCTAGAAGAAATAAACATCAAAACATAGGATGCCACATCAGTAGTATATTATGCAAATGCGACTAATATCACCGGAAAACTTAAGAAAGTAACTAAAAATAGGCTTCTTTGTTGTGTACTTTTACACCAATGGCTGTAGCTACCGGGTGGATGTTCTCAAACTCATGTTATACATTGTTCTTATCAAACGAAGTAAAATTATCAAGAATATAAGAGGGATACAGTTATAATTGGTTACTCATACTTTTTATTGGATAATACTTTAGTTTGAACTACGACCAAGAAATCATATCAACTGATCTAAATTGTAAGATATGGCATATATATATACATGCATATTTAAACAGAACATTATATTATCACTAATCCACAAGAATTTAATCACAAAAAATAGTGCGCAGTCATCTCCCAATGTCATCGGTAAGTGACTGTTCCCCGCTCGACGTGGTTAACTGCACTGGTTACGGCTTCTCATTGAAAGATGGTTACGCAATATCATGAATTGACTGATGTTAGACACGTACACCACTGGATGCTGAGTCACTGACCCAGAGGTTAGGTGTTTGCGCGCCAGGATCATGGAGCCCATGTGCACAATTTGTTTTTTGGAATAAGGGTTTTCTAACTCTCCTAAGTGGATCCTTTATATCCACCAACTCAGTTAAAGCACCGGACACTCGCTTTTCGTCCTCTCAATTTCGTACACAACACCCCCGCGGTGAGAGGGCAGTGAGTAGGACTTCCTTGTGAGTGGCCATGTGAGAGCATTTCGAGAGGGAGAGCTAATTCTCCCCACCCGCGGCCGTATCAAGGCATTTATGGGAAGTGTTACAGCAACAATTGAAAATAAACCTTGAATTTCTTTCAACCATTCATTAGCAGATAATAAAATGCTGCGACAGATATAATTTATGAGGCTATCAGAGTTATAATCCAGGGGATTTTATTATTGTCAGTCAGTCATTGAAACCTCATGATACGGACTAAATTTGCAACAGTCCAAGTTGCAATGCTAGATCAGTAAAGTAAACATCTACACAAACAGAAAGAATCCTGTTAAGCTGACAGAACTAAATGACATCGAAACGGTATTATAGGAGCTACAAGGATAGGATGTCAAAATCTGAAGAACATATGAAGTTGATTTCAAAACAAGATGCTGATAACAAGCTCCAAAGAAGTTATATCAAGTGAATTGTAATGACCTGACTAGATAATACGAAATCTTACAGTGTTAATAAAATAAGGACGTATTTAAAATAACCGTAAGACAACAACTATACTTTTCTACAAACGCTTGCAATATAAAATACGTACCGAGGCAATCGATGGCGTGGGCAGGGAATCAAACCAAACAGCTGAGGAGTGCTATACAGAAAGTTGACAATTTGCGGTAGAAAGAATAGTAACAATGTTTTGCTGAAGTGACCCAAAATACCGACTACAGCGAAAGTCATGCCTGCAAAATAACAGAATGTATCGCCCACGAAAACCTTCGCCGGATATCTTTTGAAAAAGATGGGGAAATATTATTAGACTATTCTTAATATATTAAATGTAAATTACTTATCTGAAGAATGAAAAGAATGAAAAAATGGTTGCTTTATAAATTTAAATGAAATGACAGAGATGCAGCAGATAAGTTGCTCTGATCTAGTGGTTATATTGGGATTTATTAGCAATATACGGATTAAATATAGCCAAAACACCGAATATGGTCTATATCGATATGAGTTTATTTGCTTTTCATACTACGAGGACTGGTCTTTTTTTCAAATCTCCAGCACTTACATAGCAACTTAGACAAACTTTCCTACTGTTTCCAGTGGATTATGACATAGAGTAGTTATAAGCACAGATACCTGTCAGTTTGCAGAAATACCTAACATACAGATTGCGCGATTTATGTACAACTGTGAATGACGGTAGATTACTAAATGGCTAATCCATGTAGCTATTTTGCAGCCGCAAAACGAGAACATATTATTCACATACTCACTATTCAAAAATCTCTTCCTGGGTAACACGTGTACATCAGCTCCACACGTTTTTCAAAGCTACTTCCAAAAGGTCATTGTTAAAAGTAAAGAGGACTGTAGAGAATAAGTAACTTTCTCTAAACCCACTGTTGGTTTAGGAATGGTCTTAGTTCAGTTGAAAAAACTGTAACTTTTAAATAGATTGGTGAATTAATATTTAGACTACAATGAGTCCTTCACTAAGTCACACAAACAACCGGATGGTGCATTGAACAAATGTGACTGACCGAGTCAATCGAATTTGGGGAACAAAAGGAGGAAATAAGCGTAGATTGCACGAATTATATCAAAGATATATTTGCAAATCTTGAATATTTCATTATCTACAATTTATGTCCCATTTCCAACGAATATTTCATTGTTTATTTCAATACAGTTTCGTTTTAACGATTTCCCGTTGCATACTGTTAAGAAGTACGGCAACTAGTATTGATGCACTTTATGTAAAGTTATATGCTGACTAGTTAGTTAAAATGAATTGAACGATATCCATCATACTTTCATGGGAGTAGAAACTAAGTGGACTGAAAATACATATTACTGTACAATGCTTTATAAACAGCAATAAAACTGAGAAAACTCACCGGTTTACACGATACAGAGACCAACACACAAACAAAAATGGGATCAGAAAGTAGAGTGAAAAAAGATGAACACGCCAGTGATAACCTGAAATGTTGGATGGATTTATGGACGGATTACAAACGATACAAATAAGAAAGCAAAGTAAAAAGGTTTGGGCGTTGTCATTTTATACTTACTGTGAAGAAATGATGTAATTAACGTAGTTTTATTTATTTATTTAGATATCCTCATGTTTTACGTTTAGAAAAGTTCCCCTGTTGTCAGCGAAAGCATTTGTAAATTATAAGCATGGGAGTGATCGAACAGACTTGTTGAGAGATTGAAAGACTTACTTAGGCCCTTATTTAGACCTTGGGATTAAAAAAACCTTTGTATGGCCTATTTATTTTTTTCTGCAAGTAAAAAGTTATCATTTAATGGAAAGTAGTTCAGACAATTTACTCCTAATTATTATACACAATTGTATTTTAGTCTCTAAGTATCAATTTAATCATACGTTAACATATAACGTAGCTGATATAGTGAACACTTGTAAGTTAGGTTGATGTACAACTAACGTGAAAGGTAATATATGACTACCTTAGCAAGTAGACTGAAATCTAAATAACTGGTAAATGTCTAGTTCCAAGACCACAGACTACAAACCTATGGATTGAAAACCTCAAATAATATTAAATAACTGTTGCTCTTAGTTGAATATCTCCTGAAAAAACTACAAGGAATAAACAAAGTCTTAAAAAAAACATTTTAATAACTTACTAGAAAGTTCGATCAGATTGAATAAAATTAGAGAAGCACCAATCACAATTGCCTGACCAACTTCAAGACCATTTACTCCCGCATAGATGTTTATGGAATTAGTACAGAATACAGTCAGCAAACCCATATATATGTAATATAAAATACCTAGGTAATTTGAAATAAATTATCAAACATACTAGATTTTAGCGATGATCAGTAGTGAAAATGACGGCATATACACTTTGATGAATGGCTGAACAAGTTGAAGTAAATGAGGAACGAAGGGATAATTTTTAACCTTATAAAGAAATTATTTAAATGTGAATCTAATTATACAGAAATAGACCCGCTTTAGTAATTTCGAGCGTATTCGATGCTGGATAAGGAAAATGTCAATGACATCTTGAAATTAGATTCTATCAAGCAATATGATACTTTTATAACAACTAGTGGCAACTAGACGGCAGTGAGCTCCTATCGGAAGAGCAACTGAGATGAGTTCTGGGAACTAATCACTTATGATTCCTAAGATGCTAAGTTCATTATGGGATAAAAGAATATGGGACACAATTTTTTAATACTTTTGAAATAGGTTAAAAGATGGAAAAGTCATATCGAGTAGAATACTAAGGATTGAGTTTATGCCTGATATTTTTTCTAGCTGGTTCGGAACAGTTCAGAGGATATAGCAAGTAAACCACACAATCACAGTGTAAAGGTTGTCTCATTGAGTAACCAACTTACAGAACCAACCACTAGTGTCTGAACCCTTAAATTGTTTACTTGAACAAAAAAGGACACCAAAGCCAACATTAAGACTATTTTCTATGAAAGATATTCGAGCAACGCTAAAATGACCTTAGAATGTCCGCTTACTTACTGAGGTTAAATGAAGGTTATATATTAGTGTGAGGAATTAGAATTAGGATTTACAGCTGAACATTTTTTATTGTTTATTTTAACACATAAATATTGGTACAAGGAGGCACCAAATACATATGCGACACACAGATCTCACTTGATATGTGTGAGGGCTGTGATACTACCCGCGCGCCCAAACCGAAGTAGGTGGTTTTCTTAGGGGGCCACACCTGGAGCCTTCGACCTGAAGGTCTGGTCCACAAGGCAGTGGAGCATCGTAAGGAGATACAGCCCCACGGTAGCCGGTGACCAACGATTGGTTCATACGCAATTTGTTCCCTCAGGATACTGGAGCCCATTTGCACCATTGGTTTGGGATCAGGATTTTCCAACTCCCCTAGGTAGACTCTCCATATCCACTAACCCGCTTAAAGTGTCGGACATTCGTTTTTCGTCCTCTCAATTTGGTAAACAACACCTCTGCCACGAGAAGGTAGTGAGTAGGATTTCCTTGGCAGAGGCTGTATACACGTGGCCATGTGAGAGCATTTCGAGCGGGAGAGCGGACTCTCCCCACTCTCGACCGTACTAGGGCATTTGGAGGTAAGACCACCATGGAAAACCTGGAAGCACTGGACGGCCGTTTCGTCCTATTGTGGGACTCCTTAGAAGTGCACATCCACGAACCCGCCTCGCGGGATTCGAACCCAGGACCCATGTTTCGCCAAAATCTAAGACCTGCTATTTTAAATTTGACCGGTTCGTCTATAAATTATAGTCTCGCCAAGCTTACCGTAAAAGAACGAACTTTTAGACCAGAAGTTCGAACACACTTCTAGGGATAAAGTTTTCGAAGCACAGTGTATACAGTTGACAAACTAGAATTTCCAGGGATTAAGCATGACATTAAAAAGATGACTGAAATTCAACAAATAGTAACCGGATTAAATGTGTTTACGCCAAAACAATTTATAAAGCAAAAGAATGTAGCACTTAGAATACTGATACTTCATATGCTAAGGGAATCTAAACGTACCAATATCTACGCTACTACCGAAAGCATTTCTCAGCATAACTGGGACAGCTATGCTTGTGGTCCCCTCATTGGCTAGATAAACCATCAGTAAGGGTAAGCCTGCAACAAATGGAAAACCAATTTTATGTCTCCAAGGTAGGTTGAGGGCATCGTCGGCGAATCCCAAGAAAAGCATGCAGCATATGGACAATAAACCAGCAAGAAATTGAATGAACTATGAGTGAATATGGACAATCATGATAATTTCGTCATACCTGGCTTTTAAAGATAATTTCCTGTTCCCCGCTGATTCTGTTTGTCGGGCACACCTGTCACAGGTAGGGTTAGTCGAAAAAAGTTTTTACTTCTAGTGATTGCACATCAGCTTTGCCAACGAGGTATCTCCAAAAGGGAACAGGAATGAACAGAAACATGATGGATAGAAAAACAACACCACATATTACACCCTGGGCTTCAGGTCTTAGAGAAAACTGAAAAGAATTCAAAGACAACATACATTGTTGGTTTAGACGGTTTATTCATGTCGACACCAGCGAACCCAGCACGAAGAAACTCTCCCTTATACTTTTTGAAAAGCTTCAGCACGTACTTTGCACCAAATATAGACATACAGACGAGAACGAGGAGCTCGAAAAAATGACGATAGGTACTTAACAAGTGCCCTTCGTTTGTAGATGCACATGTAGACTCCATAACGGTGTACCAACACCGAACACTCGTGTGATTATGACGAAATCGACCTTCAGACTTAATTATCCCGCGTCATGTAAACAGAACTGATACTAGTAGTTTTAAATATCTATGAACGCTCAAATAGTCCAAATGGTCCTAGACGGAATTGAAAAGCTTCCACTGAATGGGCTTACGCACATAGTAGCAGTGGATCACCAACGCCTTCAGGCAGGAGCCTGTGTATATTTTAATAAACAAATGAGAAATATTGGTAAATTATGGTAAAATACTGTCGTGAGTCCCCTAGAACATGTCAGGCTTCTTCTTAGAACACTCCTAGGAAGTGACTCGAACGAGCTCAGCCAGCAGAGAATACCAGAAGTTGACTACGCACCTCGGTAAATAAATCACCAAAATAAATAGCTCTGTAAGTTCTCGACATTGGATGCTGACCAGATTAGTTTTAGTGGACCCACCTAGCTGAAGGCGCTCGGTCGTGCGCCCGCACCAGATCACATGTAGGAACGCCGTGCTCAACATCTACTGCGATCGCTAGCCAGACTAGATCAGACAATTTCGGTATATTGGCTGTCGTCGAATATATCTTCCGATCTCCTCGATTCTGTCTTTTGATTTCTCTTGGTGGGTAAGCTTCATATTAGAAGATGTTACTGATAAAAGCGTTGCCAATCACTGAATACTTGTGCCATCTTTAAGTAAAAGGTGTGTCCACAGTGCATTCTGCTATTCTGTGTCTCTAATTTCTGGGTAGCACCCCTAGGGTTTGTGCTAGGACTGAGCTTAAGTAGTTGCCGGTGATTGTTTAGTTTAAGTTATTCGAAGGTCACCTCTGGGACAGATTCAGTGATCAGAGGCGCTCATCACAATCTTTGAATATGGGTTCTCGAAATGACTTCGTGGCTCAATTTTATGTACGACCAAGTGTATTCCTTTGCTTTTGTAGCGAGCGAGGAAACACTATATTTTCATAAGGTAGAATAAAACTAGTGAAGGTTTTGTGGAAAGCTTCATCGTCCGAGTTATCAAAGATGCGCAACAACGTTTCCAGTGCAATGATTGTTCGGATGGCATTTTCATCTCAGTTAGCATAAGACTTTAGGTCATAGGGTGTTATCACTCTTAGATCATTTTTAACTTCAGTTACTTGTAGAGTGGAGTTGTCTAAGTATGATGATTCGAAGTGTGTAAATTATTGTATTAACTTGGAATTCCCGAAACAATGCAATTAAAGTCAAATGTTTATACAAACACCACACTAAGTTGTGTGCAAAGTCTGCAACACAACTCGAATGAATAACTTTACACTCTGAATTGCTAAAGTTTAGTCCGTTGTTGAAGTCCAGGCAAACCATTCTGAAATGTCCGCTTATCATCTTGATTGCAAACTTCTGTCTAGAGTGTCACATCATCAGTGAGAAGCAATAAACCAAGCGGAAGATAGCATAGGTATTCAGTGTTTGACAACGCTTTTACCAGTAACATCTTCTAATATGAAGCTTACCCACCAAGAGAAATCAAAAGACAGAATCGAGGAGATCGGAAGATATATTCGACGACTGCCAATATATCGAAATTGTCTGATCTAGTCTGGCTAGCGATCGCAGTAGATGTTGAGCACCAGATAGATCATATTTGCATCAACAAAAAATTCCGAAGGACAATGGAAGATGTGAGAACCAGGAGAGGTGCTGACGTAGCTTCAGATCACCACCTAGTTGTGGCCAATTTGAAACTGAAGCTAAAAAAGAACTGGACAAGTGGACAAACAGCAATACAAAGGTTCAATACAGCCTTCCTTCGAGATACTGACAAACTCAATGAATTCAAGATAGCTCTCAACAACAGGTTCCAAGCCTTACAAGATCTACTGAAGGAAGAAGAAACTACTATGGAGGACAACTGGAAAGGCATCGAAGAAGCATTAACTTCAACGTGTCAAGAGGTTCTCGGTCTAAAGAAATACCATCATAAGGAATGGATCTCTACGAAAACACTGGACAAGATCAAAGAAAGGAAGAACAAGAAGACAGCAATTAACAACAGCCGAACACGAGCAGAGAAAGTCCAAGCACAAGCTGAATACATAGAAGCAAACAAGCAAGTGAAGAGGAGCATTAGAGCCGACAAGAAGAAATACGTGGAAGAACTAGCAACGACGGCAGAAAAAGCTGCTAGAGAAGGAAATATGAAACAGCTTCACGATACAACGAAGAAACTATCAGGGAAATACAGTAAACCAGACAGGCCGGTCAAAGACAAAGAAGGCAGAAAAATCACCGAAATTCAACAACAGCGTAACAGATGGGTAGAATACTTCGAGGAACTCCTGAATAGGCCGGCTCCAATGAATCCACCGGACATCGAAGCAGCACACATAGATCTTCCTATAGATGTCAATCCACCAACTACGGAAGAAATTAGAATGGCCGTCAGACAAATCAAGACCGGGAAAGCAGCAGGACCCGACAACATACCAGCTGAAGCACTGAAATCAGACATCGAAGCAACCACAAGCATGCTTTATCTTCTATTCAAAAAGATTTGGGAGGAGGAACAAGTGCCGATGGACTGGAAAGAAGGACACCTCGTCAAGATCCCAAAGAAAGGAGATCTGAGCAAATGTGAAAACTACAGAGGCATTACACTACTGTCAATACCAGGGAAAGTCTTCAACAGATTGTTGCTGAACCGGATGAAGGATGCAGTAGACGCCCAACTTCGAGGTCAACAAGCTGGATTCCTTAAGCATCGATCGTGCACAGACCAAATTGCAACACTACGGATCATCGTCGAACAATCGGTTGAGTGGAACTCACCACTATACATCAACCTCATTGATTATGAAAAGGCATTCGACAGTGTAGATAGGAAGACATTATGGAAACTTCTTCGACACTACGGAGTTCCTGAGAAGATTGTCAATATTATCCGGAACTCATATGACGGACTACAGTGCAAAGTAGTGCATGGAGGACAGCTGACAGACGCATTCCAAGTAAGGACCGGAGTCAGACAAGGCTGTTTACTCTCTCCTTTCCTCTTTCTTCTGGTGGTCGACTGGATTATGAAGACCTCAACATCTGAAGGAAAACACGGAATACAATGGACAACTCAGAATAAATTAGACGATTTGGACTTCGCAGATGACCTAGCCCTCCTATCGCATACACACGAACAGATCCAGAAAAAGACAGCTAGTGTAGCAGCAGTCTCTGCATCAGTAGGCCTCAGCATACACAAAGGGAAAACCAAGGTCCTCAAATTCAAAGCGGAGAACAGCAATCCAATCACACTTGATGGCGAAACTCTGGAAGATGTAGAGTCCTTCACATACCTGGGAAGCATCATCGATGAACAAGGAGGATCCGATGCAGACGTAAAGGCGAGTATCGGCAAAGCAAGGATCGCATTCCTACAATTGAAGAACATATGGAACTCAAAACAACTTTCAACCAATATCAAAGTGAGAATCTTCAATACGAACGTCAAGGCAGTTCTACTGTATGGAGCTGAAACTTGGAGAACTACAGCAACCACAATCAAGAAAGTACAAGTATTTATAAATAGCTGTCTTCGCAAGATACTCAACATCCATTGGCCGGATACCTGCAGCAATAGCCTTCTGTGGGAGAGAACAAACCAACTTCCAGCTGAAGAAGAAATTAGGAAAAGACGATGGAAATGGATAGGACATACATTTTGGAAGTCATCAAACTACTTCACGCGTCAAGCCCTGACTTAGAATCGTGAAGGGAAGTGGAAAAGAGGAAGGCCAAAGAACACATTGCGTCGGATAATAGAAGCAGATATGAAAAGGATGAATAGGAACTGTAAGGATCCGGAAAGGATTGCCCAGGACAGGGTTGGATGGAGAACGCTGGTGAGCGGCCTGTGCTCCTTCACGAGGAGTAACAGGCGTAAGTAAGTAAGTAAGTAAGCAAGTAAGTAAGTAAGTAAGTAAGTAAGTAAGTAAGTAAGTAAGTAACGGCGTTCCTACCTGTGATCTGGTGCAGATGCACGACCGAGTGCCTTCAGCTAGGTGGGTCCACTAAAACTAATCTGGTCAGCATCCAATGTCGAGAACTTACAGAGCTATTTATTTTGGGGATTTATTTACCGCTACAAAGCAATACTTTTAGAGGAAGTTCATTTGTTTATATCCATTAAGAATAAAGAGGTCTTAGTGCTGAAACCTGAGGGTCGCGAATAGGACATTGCGTAGTCGCAGAAAAATTGAGGTTCGCCCTGACCTTAAAATGTCGAGTATTTGAATACGAAGTAACTAAGTCAGTTAGAGATGACCTGGTATCTAATAGTTTGGGCTTATTGATAAGACAAATATTACTTACCCTATCATAAATTTTTGAGAAGTCAAATTATATGACGCCAACTTTTTGGTTAAAATCAAGGATTTCTGTCCATCAGTCTAGAGCAGTCAGCAGGCGATTTACACAACAGTGGCCATTTATGAGACTTTTTAAAGATGAAATCATGTTTGTAGATGACAAACGACCGCGTAGACCTCTTCATCTCAAGGACTTTACAATTTCTAAATGTTTGGAACGAAGTACTGCCCATTGGTTACTTGTAGATTCACCAAGTTAGTCTCCTTTGAAAATTGATATGATGTGCGCCAGCCTCCTCATCGTAACGAGTGTGAAACTAACATACTAAGCGGTGCTGCAAAAGCCGCTTATCTAAGTATGGTAAAGTGAATCATATCCATGCCATGAGAACTGTCTTTGTTTCGATGCTGCAGTTTCTCATACGCCAATCCAGGGCTTAGGTTTACTTCCGAGACTCCTGTTAGGTTTCGGGTGCAGTCCTTGTCATTGTGGGTTGTGAAGGTCGAAATGTCCGCGAATCTCGGTGGCATCTTCCTCGTTGTTATTTGGATCATTAGGACCTAACAAGTGGGAGACTAGTTTTGTCTGTTTGGAGTGAGGTTGCATACATCTTTAGAATGGGGGGGCAGACTTATTGATTGACTGGTGCTGAAG